TCCTCCTCCTCCTCCTCCTCCTCCTCCTCCTCCACCTCTCCTCCTCCTCCTCCTCCTCCTCCTCCTCCTCCTCCTCCTCCTCCTCCTCCTCCTCCTCCTCCTCCTCCTCCTCCTCCTCCTCCCCCTCCTCCTCCTCCTCCTTCTCCTCCTCCTCCTCCTTCCCCTGAGGTCGAGGTGTACCCCCGCGCCCGGCTGGCCATCCTTTCGACTGGGGACGAGCTGGTGGATTCGGCAGCAAACCATGCGAGCAGGGGTGAGGAGTCCTGGCTCGCCTGTGTGCCCGCCAAGGAATGTGCTAAGAGCCTTTGGTGGTCTGCACGGAATGTTCTGAGAATATTTCTGGTTGGGACTGGTGCATTTTGACGAATCGGGCTTATGATCTGAGAACATTGTTTTTGTCATTCGAGCATGTTTTGTTCTAAGAAAATTCCGTGGTAGACTTAAAGGGTTTCTGGGACGGTCGGTCCCTGCTCCATGGGGGCCTTTGTTCTCGTGCCTCCTCTCGAGTGCCCTCGCGCGCGCGCGAGCGCCTGGTGATCGACGAGAAGGCCCCGCGTTTGCGCAGAGGAGCGCCGATTTGGCTTAGTCGGCGCTGGCCGGCGGCGGTTCGCAAGAGCCAGCCAGCACCACGGCATGGGAAGCTCCCGCGAGCTGCCGCCGGAGGTGGACCTCGCCGCGGGCGCCGCCCGCGACGAGCGGCGCGGGCAGATCGTCGACTGCAACCGGCCGATGCTGCGGGCCCTGGCCGCGGAGGCGGGCGCCGAGCCCGTGGACCTGGGCATCTGCGGGGACGAGCCCGGCGCGCTGCGCGAGCGCCTGGCCGCTGCGCTCCGGAGCGCCGACGTCGTGGTCACCTCCTTATAGTGGGCCCTGGAAACGACAGGGCCGTTTTTTTACCGGTTCCGTTCTGCCGTTTTTGTTGCCCGTTCCGACGCCGTTTTTTTTTACCGGTTCCGTCGCCGTTTTTTGTTTTTCCGGTTCCGGCTCCGGTTCCAATCCTGGAGCCGTTTTTTGGCCGTTTCCGGTCGCCGTTTTTTTGCCGTTTCCATGTTCAAGGGACATTTTTTTCGGAAGCGGTGAAAAAACGGTCCTGCCGTTTCCGGGGCCCACAAAGGTCACCTCCGGCGGCGTGAGCAGGGGCAGCAAAGACCACATGAAGGTCGGGAGGGGGAAAGAAGACACAGACACAGTGAGTCGCCGACTCCCAGGAACAAGGTGGGAGGATGCGGGAAGTGGAGGGGGGGGGGGAAGACGGACACCCCGAAGCCAGGAACAGATCGGGGACCCAGGGATTTTTGCGCCTACTTGGTTATGTGTGTCCCTGGGCCCCTTTCGCAGGCCCTCCTCGCCGAGCTGGGGCAGGTGCACTTCGGCGAGATGTGCATGAAGCCCGGGAAGCCGACCACGTTTGCCACCGTGCCGCTCGCCGCCGACGGCCCAGGCAGGGCCCATGTCTAGGGGAACAAACAATGACACACAGTGGGGGCCCATGCCAAGAAACACCCTGCTTGCCTCCAGGGTGCTGTGGGTTTCTTGGGTCTCCAGGGGCTTGCGCTGGAAGTCGTGGCGTTCCCACACCAAAAATGGATGGACGTCCTGGGCTCTCAGGGTTATGTTTCTTGTGGAAGGTTTCTTGTGGTCGGGCCTCCACTGGAAACATAAAAACTCTGAGGTCCGCGCGGATCCGCGCTGGACCCCCCTGACGGCGCCTCTGGCGCCGCGGGGGTCCAGCGCTGATCCGAGATTTCCGCGCGGACCCACGAGTTTTTATGTTTATGTCATTGTTTGTGTTCTAGCTCGATTGAGGCGGAAGGAGTACCCCTACCTCTGCCCTTCTCTCGTTCCCCCCTTGTGGGGCCTCCTGGGAGGCCCTCGTCACCACCGCTGGATTCGCCTTGAGATCCTGGCCAGAACGCACCCAAGGAGAGGTCCAGGGAGTAGCGGTATCGGTGCCTTCCCATGGCAGGCCCGATGCGATCTTCGCTTGCCCCCAATGCTGTCCAGCGATCCGATATGCGGCCGGATGTGTGTGCGCGGCGCTGCTGTGCATCGTGGTGCGATGCGATTGCGGCTCCGCGCCGATGCAGCCGGATCCGACGCACAGTTCTCGGTGGTCCTCAGGACGTCCGTAATTCCAGCGTGTGGTTACCCGGCTGATCAGCTGCCCGCCGCCTCTCTGGGCGCTCCTGGCGGTTGCCTCTGGCGCACGGAAGGGCTTCGGCGGACCAGCGCACGTTGCCGCCAGCACACGTTTCGAGGCTCATCGGACTCAGATCGCATCGGATTCCCTCATTCGGTGCTGCCTGACCCTGCCCAGGCGCCGCCGAAGGCCCTGGTCGGCCCCGGCTCGTCTTCGCACTGCCGGGCAACCCGGTGAGCTGCTTCGTCACGTTCAAGCTCCTGGTGGCGCCAGCCATTCAGAGGCTGCAAGGCTGGCCCGCTGGAGCCCTGCGACCAAGTCAGAACCCGGTTCCTGCGGGGCCCGGTCGGCGCTGGGATATCGGCCACAGTCAACCCGCCTAGCGTGGAGGAGCAGCTTTCCAAGGTTACCCTTGCATCTTTCCTGTCGCGCGCCCTCCTGGCACGGGTTGACGGCACCCCTGCTGGGGCTCACCATGGGCGCCGCGCCTAAGAGGGGGGGGGGCAGATGGGGCGGGCCCTCGCAGACGCCCGCAGGGTCTCTCGGAAGCCCCGCCGCCGACCGAGAAGGTCTGCCCGCTCTCCCCCTTGGGGAGCGCCGCCGACACTGAGCCGCAGCCATTCGAATTCTGACCCCCAGTTTCTTGGCATCGCTCGGACGTGTGCATTTTCCCTTCGGCGGGGACCATCGAGGAGCATCCTTGATCATTTGGCGAAAAAAACCACGCGCGAGACCGAAACAAAAAGCACAGGGAATTGGACGTCCGAGCGATGGCCAGGTTTGTTCCTTCCCCAAAGAGGCAGGGGAAGCAGGGCTCCCGCGTGGCTGAGCTCAGGAGCGCCGCTGTACCCGCGGGTGGACGCGGAGCTGGCGCAGGACGCCGCGCCGCGCCCGCGGCCGGCCCTGCCTGTCCGCCCGCGTGGCCCGCCCCCGCCGCGCGCTCGGCGTGGATTCGGCGCGGGCTCGGCGCGGAGCCGACGCCGCGCGCTCGACGCGGCTCCGACGCGGACGCGGCGTGGGCAGAGACGCGATCGGGGGAAGGCGAGAGGGCACCGCCACGACCACCAGGGGGGCCACCTCCAGCGGGGAGGCCCACAATGCCGCCCCCGTGCTGGGGATCGAGGGGACGGCTCGAGCGAGAGGGGGGGGAGCCACACCACCCGGGCCCCCCCCCCACCCCCCCGGCTCCTCCCACTGGTGGTCCCTGGCGGTGGTGGCGTCGCTCCTGAACTTGCTCCTGACGCGAACAGCGACGCCATGGCACAGGCGAGGCCCCGAACCCAGAGATCCGACGTCTCGATCTTTGGAAAAATGATGGGCCTGTTTTCCACCACCACCACCATAAATGGAGGGGGGAAGGAGGAGGAGGAGGAGGAGGAGGGGGAGGAGGAGGAGAACGAGGACGAGGACGAGGACGAGGACGAAGAGGACGAGGAGGAGGAGGAGGTGGAGGAGGGGGAGGAGGAGGACCCCCCCATCCAACTTATGGTGGTGGTGGTGGAAAACACGCCCATCAAAAAAGGGGCCCCTGTGAGCCCCGACCCCCTTTCCCGGGAACGGATGTTCTCGCCCCGAGGTAGCTGTTGTTCCTCGGCCCCGGCGCCTGGCGAGGGCCCTTGGAGAGGCCAAGGAGCTCAAGACTGACTCTCTCGATGCGCCGAAGGCCGTGGAAGACAACAGGAGAAAGGACGTGGAGATGAGGGCCCCCAGAGGCCAAAAACCTGAATATGTTTTTTGTTCGATACGTTGAGGCCTTGGAGGACCCGAGACACATCGCCTCTTCGATGCGTGGGAGGCCCTGGATTTTTCTGAATTTTCCCATACCTTGAATTCTGGATTCCTTGAAGACAGGACGTGGAGATGGACCCGCAGCGGCCGGAGTACCACCGTGCCGTCGCGCGCTGGGACGGCGGCCGCGTGCTGGCGGAGAGCACCGGCTTCCAGCGCAGCAGCCGCGTGGCGTCCGTCTGCGGGGCGAACTGCCTGCTGGAGATACCCAGCCAGAAGGGCTCCCTTGCCAGGGGCACCGTGGTGAAGGCCAGGAGGGATGAGAGAGTGTCGGTGGCACGCGCGCCGTCGCTCGCAGCGTGCGCGTCACCCAATCGTTCCCTGTACCGCGGATGCGGTGCCTCTGCAGCCGTTGCTGCCCTGGTGCGGCCCACTCGAAACGCAACGTGCACCGTCTTCGAAACGGCCGTGTTGGCACGCTGCGTTCATGGCTCAACGTGTTGGCCCACTTTTTCGGCGAGCGCATCGCGCCAGACCGACCTGTTCAGTCTACGTGCTGAGCTCCTGTGTCGAGACGTCACGGGTTGTGGGTTGCGTATCGGGGTAGCTAGGCCTGCAGCAGTAACGCGCTGACGGGCTCGCCCGACCGTGGCACCAGTGCTGTTGGAGGAGGAAGGGGAGGGCGAGGGGGAGGGAGGAGGAGGAGGAGGAGGAGGAAGATGAGGAGGAGGAGGAGGAGAAAGAGGAGGGAGGGAGAAGATGAGGAGGAGGAGGAGGAGGAGGAGAGGAGGAGGGAGGAGGAGGAGGAGTTGGAGGAGGAAGGAGGGAGAGGGAGGAGGAGGAGGAGCGGAGGAGGAGGAGGAGGAGGAGGAGGAGGAGAAGGAGAGGAGGAGGAGGACGGGAGAGTAAAAAGAGGGGGGGGGAGGAGGAGGACGGGGAGGGAGAGGAGGGAGAGGCAGGAGTATAGGAGGAGGAGGAGGAGGAGCAGGAGGACGAGGAGGAGGAGGAGGAGGAGGAGGCAGGAGGAGGAGGAGGAGGAGGAGAGGAGGAGGGAGGAGGAGGAGGAGGAGGAGGAGGAAGGAGGAGGAGGGAAGGGAGGAGGAGGAGGAGAGGAGCGGGAGGAGGGGGAGGAGGAGGAGGAGAGGAGGAGGAGGAGGAGGAGGAGGAGGAGGAGGAGGAGGAGGAGGAGGAGGAGGATAATGAGGAGGAGGAGGAGGAGGAGGAGGAGGGAGGAGGAGGAAGGGAGGAGGAGGGAGGAGGAGGGCGGAGGGAGGAGGAGGAGGAGGAGGAGGGAGGAGGAGGAGGAGAAGGAGGGTGAAGAGAAGGAAAAGGAGTTGTTGCACTCCTTGCCAGGCGCTCCTGCTGCCCGGGGCGGGCGGGGGCTGCCTCGCCGCTGGCCCGCCGCCTGGAGGCGTGGCAGCGCCGACTGCGCCGCCACCCGCCGCGCCCGCCGCATCCTGGCGGCGCGCGCGGAGGAGTCTGGTTGACCCAAGAGGGGGTCCAGCGAACAGGGGGGGGTGCAATAGATTTGTGCGGCTGCAATAGATTTGGGGCGTGCGATACATTCCGGTGCGCAAGTGTATTGCTGGGTTGTCGCGTGCAACACGTTAGCTGCAACCCAATGCAATACAATTCTCCGGCGCAGTACATCTGCAATACAATACTGTTGCCCCACATCACCTGTACCATCCCCTCTCAGCTGGACCCCCTTCTGGGCCAATCAGAAGGAAGCCGCACGTCGGCGGCGAAATCCGAACTCCACCCTCGCTGGTCGAGCTGCGCGGTTGTCGGCGTTTTTCGTCTCTCGAGCTCTTCGAGGTCTTCTCGGCGTGGTCGCTGGCTCTCGGCGGCCCTCCGGCCTCCTGGGGCCTGCCAGCGGCCGCGCTTCGCTGAGATCGTTCTGGGGGTGCCTGGATCGTCCCAAACGGCCGCCGGAGTCCCGAGTTATGTGATCGTTGTTAGAGTCCTTGTTTCGCTGATCGGCGCGGGCCCTCGCACCCCGCTCCTCCCCCCCCCAAATGGAGTAGATCTTGGCTGTCTTTGGCGCCTGTGTCGAGCGGGTGGAGCCTCCTCCAGAGGCCGCACTCTTGCGAACAGTTGCACCAAGCAGAGGTCCAGAGCCAGACCCCCCCCCCTCCTCACCCACTTCCGCCCAATGTCGAAACGCCGAATAAAAAATCGATCCCTTAGATACAAAAACCGTTCGGATTCAGGCAGCTCGATGGGCGGCGGGGGTAGGTAGGGGTCGGAGTTCGTCGGACACGTGGCGAAATCCGAGCCATGGGTTCAGCAGAATCGATAGTTGGTGGGGGTCAGGGTTCGGATGTCGCCACCTGCGCACGGTTTTGGGACCTTGGAGGCCCCAGCAGCCCAGAACATCCTCGCAGAACGACCCAATGAGCCCAAACCGTGCGTTGACCCCGAATGCCAGCCGGCTCACCCGACGGTGCGGCCGCCGCACTGTTTGGGTGCCCCCCGTGCACCGCGCACGCCGACGCGCCGCGCACGCCGACGCGAGCGGACACGGAGCGATGCTCCAGGGCGGCGCTGCCGCGAAAGCTCTGGGCGCTGCACGCTGCTCGCAACGGGCATGTTCGCAATGTTTCGGGCCCTGGGGCCATCACGACGTGTGGTCGGCGCGGATTCGCAGTGCAATCGAGATGGGTACCACCAGATTCGACGCGGATTCGAAGCGCTCGGCACGGATTCGACGCGGATTCGACGCGGATGGCAGCACGACGGGACAGAAAAGGTTTCCCCAAGATGCACTTCAAAGTTCACGCTGGTCACCGCGGACTCCTGCTCCGCGAAGTCCACACCGGTCCTCCTCCGCCCGGAGACGCGCGCCTTGGAGGAAACTCCGAGATCTTGGCGTTGCGATTGTTTCACAACGCGGGGCGACGAGATGAGCGTTCAGAATTTCATGCTTCAGGGGGGGTGGGGTCCGATTTGATGGGGGGGTCTGATGTGGGCTGTCCTGGAGGGTTCCGAGGGTGTCTTGTTAAAAGGCCGCCCTTTCATGGCTGGTCTGGGGGGGGGGGTCTGTCATGGCTCGTCTGGGAGGCTTGTGACCCCCACCCCTTTTCTCATGAAATTCCTTACGCTCTGGGATCTCCACGCCACCGGGTTGGGAGTTTCGTGTCTGGCTCTTCTTCTGAGTGGCTGCCGCCTTCGCTTGCCTCTCTTTTCTTGCTGCCTAGTCGCGGCCCGGCTAGTGTTCGGACGGTTTTCGACCTGCTTCGCGAGCCCGCAGACCAAAAAGTGTTCCCACCATCCATTTTGGCTGCGTCTACTCGCTGGTCGCCACTGGGATTTTCGGACGCCACCGGGTATGGCACTACCAGTTCTTTTCGCCCTTCTGAGCTGACGCCCTGCTGCGCCTGTCTTGTTTTTCCGCTTTCCGCTTCCGCTGCCTAGTCGTGGCCTGGCTAGAGTTTGGACTCCCTTTGACCCGCTTCACGAGGCCGCTGACCAAAAAGTATTTCACCATCCCATGCAGAAGCAATTTGCCAGGCGAGTTGAAGCGTTGTTGTGATATGTTTTCGGGGGTCTCTTGGAGCCTTCTTGGGGTTTTCTTGAGGTTCTCTTGGGGCCCTCTTGGGGCCCTCTTTGGCTTGTTTTGGGGCCATCTTGGGGCCTTCTTTGGGCCCTGTGGGCGGGCCTGAGAGGTCATTCGAAGTCGTTTTGGCCCCCGTAGCTCAAAAGCAAGGGGATCCTCAATTCAGGCCCCCCCCCTCGGAGGCTCAGAAATTGACTCTTGGGGCCTTTCTGGGGCGCTGTTGGGGTGCTCTTGGACGCTCTTGGGGCCCTCTGGGGGGCCCTCTTGGGCCCCTCTTGGAGCTCTCTTTGGCCGTCTTGATCGACTCACTGTTTGGAGCCATTTGGGCCGGGCTTTTGGAGGGCCCAGAGGGCAGTTGAAACCATTTTGGGGCCGTCTTGGGGCGTCTTCGATGTATGTGGGAGGCTATCTTGAGCCATCTTCAGCTATGTTGAGCCATCTTGGAGGCCATCTTGGGTTTGCTGAGACCCTCTTGGCGCCATATTGTGCCATCTTTGGCGCTGTAGCGCCCCGCGGCTCCCCCCCTCTCAGGCCCAGGGGAGGGGGTATGGGGGAGGGGTCAAGACACCTACAAGGAGCAAGCCGTGTAGTTCACTCCCACCCACCGTCCCAACACATAAGTAGCACCGGACCAAAGGACCAAGCATTTTAACCTCCGAACAGGCTCTGCCAACAACCAATGCAAAGGTCCCGACGGGACACTCGTAGTTTCGCCACCTATGGCTCGAGTGCGACAGGAGAGCTGCGCGCGTCCGCCAGCGGGGTGATTTCGGTGCCAGAGGAGCAGCGAGGAGGAGCAGCGAGGAGGAGGAGGAGGAGGAGGAGGAGGAGGAGGAGGAAGAGGAGTCAGGAAGAGGACGATGAAGGAGGAGGAGGAGGAGGAGGAGGAGGAGGAGGAGGAGGAGGAGGGAGAGGAGGAAGAGGAGAGCGGAGAAAAAGGGAGGAGGAGGAAGAGGAGAAGCAAGGCTCCGAACTGAGAGCGGTGACCTAGCACGCGCTTGCCAGCAAGGCTCCCAAGAGCGAGCGGTGACGCAGCAAGTTCTTACCAGCAAGGCTCCCAAGAGCGAGCGTCAACGTAAGACTTTGTGGGCACGAGTACTCTGAACAGATAGCGGTGACGCAACAAACTCTTCCCAGCAAGGCTCCCAACAGAGAGAGGTGACGTAACACGCGCTTGCCAGCGAACCTCCCAAGAACGAGCGGTGACGCAACAAGCTCTGAACAAAAAGGCTCCCAAGAGCGAAGGGTGCCATGAGCCATCTCGGGCAGGTTGCTGAGGCGCTCTTTCCGTTCCCGTGCCGGCCCAGGTCTAGTGGCCTTCGGTCCATCCCGCCACCGTGCTGGGGGTGTTGGCTAGAGGCCTCTTGGATGTTTGTTGGGATACCGTGCGAGGCCTCTCGGAGCACTTTTGAGGCCTCTTGGGGGGCGTTTGGGGGCCTCTTGGGGCCTCTCTTCGAACCTCTTGGGGGCCTCCAGGTTGCCTCTTGGGCTCGCTTGGGGACCTCTTGGGGCTTCCTGGGGGCCTCTTGAGGCGGAAAGCTTGAATTCTCGATTCGCATACCCCCTCATAAGGCCGTCTTGGGGCTCTCTTGGGCGATCTTGCGCGCCTCTTCGGCCGTTTGGGGGCCCTCTTGGACCGCCTTGGGACCTTCTTGGGGGCCTCTTGGGCCGTCTTGGGGCGGTCTGTTGGGCCTCGTGGTCCTTCAGGAGCCCTCTTGGCAGGCCTCTTGGAGCGCTCTTGGAGCCTCTTGGAGGCCTCTTGGGCTGTTTTGGTGCCATTTTGGGCGTCTTGGAGCGCTCTTGGGCCGTCTTGGAGGCCACTTGGCCCTCTTGGGCGCTTCTTGGGGCCATCTTGGCTAGTCTTGGGGTCCTGTGGCCTCTGGAAAATCCACGGCACTGAGCCCAAGAGCGCCCAGATGCTCCGATGCGGAAGCAGAGTGTGTGTTTGTATTTTTTGTTGATAGGAATGGTGGGGGGGGCCCTCATGGTGTGCGCATGTTTCCGGGTTGGCTGCTGGCCAGGTGGGGGAGGGGGTGTTTATTAACTGGGAACAGTGATTAAGCGAACCACCAGCCCGCAAGCCGTCTAGCTCACTCCCACCCGCCATTACTAATACGAATACAAATATTCATGCCAATGCTAAAACTAGTAGCAGTAGTAGTAGTAGTAGTAGTAGTAGTAGTAGTAGTAGTAGTAGTAGTAGTAGTAGTAGTAGTAGTAGTAGTAGTAGTAGTAGTAGTAGTAGTAGTAGTAGTAGTAGTAGTCGTAGTAGTAGTAGTAGTAGTAGTAGTAGTAGTAGTAGTAGTCGTAGTCGTAGTCGTAGTCGTAGTAGTCGTAGTCGTAGTAGTAGTAGTAGTAGTAGTAGTATTTGTAGTAGTAGTAGTAGTAGTAGTAGTAGTAGTAGTAGGTAGTAATAGTAGTAGTAGTAGCAGTAGAGTGAGTTGTAAGTAGAGTAGTAATAGTAGTAGTAGTTAGTAGTAGGAGTAGTAGTAGTAGTAGTAGTACGTAGTTATAGTAGAGTAGTAGTGGTTGTAGTTGTAGTAAGTAGTAGAGTCGTCGTAGTCGTAGTAGTAGTAGTAGTAGTAGTTAGTTTGAGTAGTTAGTAGTAGTAGTAGTAGTAGTAGTAGTGTAGTCAGTAGTAGTAGACGCCAAGTGGGTTGCATCCCGCAGCGGGTGGTTTCGCACCCGCCAGGGGGGTCGCAGCCCGCCAGGCGGGTCGCGCCCGCGAGGGGGGTCGCGCTCGCCAGGGGGGTCGCAGCCCGCCAGGGGGGTTGCACCCGCCAGGGGGGGTCGCAGCCCGCCAGGGAGGTTCTCGCAGCCCGCCAGGGGGTTGCACCGCCAAGGGGAATGCAGCCCCGAGGGGGGTCGCGCCCGCGAGGGGGGTCGCGCCCGCCAGGGGGGTTGCACCCGCCAGGGGGGTCGCACCCGCCAAGGGGGGTCGCGCCCGCCAGGGGGGTCGCACCCGCCAGGGGGGTCGTGCCCGCCAGGGGGGTTGCGCCCGCCAGGGGGGTTGCGCCCGCCAGGGGGGTTGCACCCGCCAGGGGGGTTGCACCCGCCAGGGGGGTTGCACCCGCCAGGGGGGTTGCGCCCGCCAGGGGGGTTGCGCCCGCCAGGGGGGGCGGCACCCGCCAGGGGGGTTGCACCCGCCAGGGGGGGTGGCACCCGCCAGGGGGGTGGCACCCGCCAGGGGGGTGGCACCCGCCAGGGGGGTTGCACCCGCCAGGGGGGTTGCACCCGCCAGGGGGGTGGCACCCGCCAGGGGGGTGGCACCCGCCAGGGGGGTTGCACCCGCCAGGGGGGTTGGCCCGCAGGGGGGGTTGCACCCGCCAGGGGGGTGCACCCGCCAGGGGGTGGCACCGCCAGGGGGGTTGCGGCCGCCAGGGGGGTTGCACCCGCCAGTGGGGGTTGCGCCCGCCAGGGGGGTTGCACCAGCACGAGGGGGTTTGCAGCCGCCAGGGGGGGGGTTGACCCGCCAGGGGGGGTTGCACCTGCCAGGGGGTTGCGCCCGCCAGGGGGGTCGCGCTGCCAGGGTGGGGGGTCGCGCCCGCCAGGCGGGGTCGCGGCCCGCCAGGGGGGGTCGCAGCCGCAGGGGGGTCGCGCCCCGCCAGGGGGGTGCGCCCGCCCCAAAAGGGGGGTTGGCACCGCCAGGGGGGTGCCCTACCCGCCAGGGGGTTGCCACCCGCCAGGGGGGTTGCACCCGCCAGGGGGGTTGCACCCGCCAGGGGGGTGCACCCGCCAGGGGGGTTGCACCCGCCAGGGGGGTTGCACCCGCCAGGGGGGTTGCGCCCGCCAGGGGGGGTGCACCCGCCAGGGGGGTTGCACCCGCCAGGGGGGTTGCGCCCGCCAGGGGGGTTGCACCCGCCAGGGGGGTTGCACCCGCCAGGGGGGTTGCACCCGCGAGGGGGGTTGCACCCGCCAGGGGGGTTGCACCCGCGAGGGGGGTTGCACCCGCGAGGGGGGTTGCACCCGCCAGGCTCAGGGGGGTTGCGCCCGCCAGGGGGGTTGCACCCGCCAGGGGGGTTGCACCCGCCAGGGGGGTTGCGCCCGCCAGGGGGGTTGCGCCCGCCAGGGGGGTTGCACCCGCCAGGGGGGTTGCGCCCGCCAGGGGGGTTGCGCCCGCCAGGGGGGTCGCGCCCGCCAGGGGGGTTGCACCCGCCAGAGGGGGTTGCGCCCGCCAGGGGGGTTGCACCCGCCAGGGGGGTTGCACCCGCCAGGGGGGTTGCACCCGCCAGGGGGGTTGCACCCCCGCCAGGGGGGTTGCGCCCGCCAGGGGGGTTGCGCCCGCCAGGGGGGTTGCACCCGCCAGGGGGGTTGCACCCGCCAGGGGGGTTGCGCCCGCCAGGGGGGTTGCGCCCGCCAGGGGGGTTGCACCCGCGAGGGGGGTCGCCCGCCCGCCAGGGGGGTCGCACCCCCGCGAGGGGGGTCGCACCCGCGAGGGGGGTCGCACCCGCCAGGGGGGTCACAGCCCGCGAGGGGGTCGCGCCCGCCAGGGGGGTCGCAGCCCGCCAGGGGGGTCGCAGCCCGCCAGAGGGGTTCGGTTCGGTTCCCGTCGGTTCGGTTCAGGGGCCGCCCGGTTCCGGTTCGATTCCGGTTCTGGTTCGGTTCGGTCCTCGCCGGTTCGGTTCTGAATGAATTCGGTTCGGTCCGGTTCGGTTTTCTACGTTCCTGGTTTTGGACCGGTTCGGTGCGGTTCGGTCACGGTTCTCGGTTCTCGGTTCGGTGCGGTCTCTTCATGTACTACTACTACTACTACTACTACTACTACCTACCTACCTACCTACCTACCTACCTACCTACCTACCTACCTACCTACCTACCTACCTACCTACCTACCTACCTACCTACCGACCTACCTACCTACCTACCTACCTACCTACCTACCTACCTACCTACCTACCTACCTACCTACCTACCTACTACTACTACTACTACTACGACTACAACTTACTACTTACTACTACTACTAAGACTACTACTACTACTACTACTACGACACTACTACTACTACTACTACTACTATACCACACTACCACTACCCCTACCTACTACCACCACTACCACTACCACTACCACTACCACTACCACTACCACTACCACTACTGCAACGAATGCAAACACAAATAGTAATAACAATCGTCATACTCGTGCTACTACTGTTGCTACAACAACAACTAGTACTACTGCTGCTACTATTACTACGACCACCAGTACTACTACTATTACTACGGCCACCACCACCACCACCACCACCACCACCACCACTACTACTTACTACTACTACTACTACTACTACTACTACTACTACTACACTACTACTACTACTACTACTAGTACACTATACTACTACTACTACTACACTACTACTACTACTACTACTTACTACTACTACTACTACTACTACTACTACTACTACTACTACTACTACTACTGCGACGACGACGACGACGACGACGACGACGACGAGGACGACTGCGACGACGACGACGACGACGACGACCACGATGACGACGACGACGACGACGACGACGACGACGACGACGACGACGACGACGACGACGACGACGACGACGACTACTACTACTACTACTGCTTTTTTAAAACGAAAACGAATACTTCGATTAGGAGTGCTACGAATTCATAACAACAGTAATATAATGTATGGTACCATGAATAATACAGAAATGCATGAATCAGTAAATACATGACTCCATAGATGCATGAAGACGTATCCCTCTTCCTGAATGTTTACAAGCCCTGGCGGGGGGGAAACCCGTCCCCCCCCCCAAAAAAAAAACGGACTCCCGGGATCTAGGGCTTTTGGACCCTTCGGACGGGCCTCGAAGCGGCCCCCCGGGCCTGGCAGGGTGTTTTGCCAAGCCTTCGCAGCACACCTAGGGCGATCAGGGGGGTCATCGGAGACGTCCCAGAGAACCCCAAGACAGCACAAGAGCGCTCCAAGAAGCCGTCATACCCCGAAAGATCGCTCCAAAACGTACCAAGAAGCCTCCAAGAGCACCCCCAAGAAGGCCCCAAGAGGGAATAATCATCGATTTAATGTAGGTTTTTGGTGAATTTCGGGTTCTCCTCTTTTCGGCTTCCCGACGCTCCAAGACAGCGGTCTTCTAGGCGTCCGAAGTCGCCTGGGAGGCTCCAAAATCGCCCCGCAACCATCCGAAAGGGCTTCCAGGCAGTCCAAGAGAGCCCCAGAACGGCACAACAGGTGTCCAAAATGGCCCTAAGATAGCCCCATGGCGGCCCAAGATGGCCCCAAGACACCCTCCGAAGCATTCCAAATCGTGACCAGGGCGTTCAGGGAGACTGCGGTTAGAGGCAGGTTGGCCTTATGAAGCTCCAGAGGCCCCCAGAACACGCCCAGGAGGCCTCCAGAAGGCTTTAAGAAAGCCTGAGAACTTTGGTGAGGCCCCCAGAGGCTCTCCAAGGAGGAGCCTCCGCAAAAAGAGATGAGGAGGATGGGGAGAATACCCAGGGTATGGCGAGAATGAGGAAAAATAAGCATGGAGGAGGGATAACAAACAACATGATTATAACGGCGATGCCAGAAAAGGCAGCGAGGAGTTGTCGCAAAATCGTCCGCTTGACCTTCCTGCCATTTCCGCCTGCATGCCAATCTTCAAGGACCAAGGTGCATGGCGCGAAGCGCCACTGCAGTCTTGTATACATATATATTTATATATATATATATATATATATATATATATACACACAGAAAGAGCCCGCGCGCGCCGCCAGCGCTCGGACGCCCCCTCGCCGAACGCGCCGCTGGCGCCCGCCGCGCTGCTCGTCGGCCTGCTCGCGGTCGGGCCTGGCGGCGCCGCGCTCCTCGCGGGCGCGCGGGGCGGCCTGCTGGGCGCCGGCGTCCCGGGCGGCAGCCTGGCCGAGCGCGAGGTGCAGTCGAGGAGGGAAAATGTACCCATACTCCTCCTCCTCCTCCTCCTCCTCCCTCCTCCTCCTCCTCCTCCTCCTCCTCCTCCTCCTCCTCCTCCTCCTCTTCCTCCTCCGCCTCCTCCGAGGCTCAGTCAGAAAAAGTACCCATACCGCTATGCCCTTCCGTGGTTTGGCCCGTTTTGGGCCTCCTGGGACGCCCTCGTCGCCACCGCTGGATTCGCCTCGAGGTCGGAATCCTGGTCAGAACGCGCCGCGGGAGAGGTCCGGGGAGTGGCGGCATCGGTACTCGTTAGTACCGGTAGCGGTAGCGGTGTGGAAGAAGTGAGACGGAAGGTTTTTCGTAATTGCTGGTCCCGGGGAAGGGGTCCAGACCTCCGGGGGTCGACGCTGTGAAAAAATCACTACGTCGGGGGTCTGGGTAAGAGTGAACGTTCGCCAGAGTGGCCTTTGGCGCGGGCCTCTTGGGGTCCCCCGATCGCTGGGCGCGAAGCGGCAGAAGCGTCTTGCGCGCCTGTGTTTGGTGGACCCCGCGCGGCCCCAAAAGAGCCGCGTACCAAAGGTCACTCTTCCCCAGGGTCACTCTTGCGTACAGTCGAGAGGTTCGTGGGCAACGAAAGGGGGGATACTCCGGATTCCATAATACACGCTGGTCGTTGAAAGTAGGTACGTTCGGACTCCCGAATCCCAATCTACTTCAGGCGCCGTCCTGCTTCGAGATCCGATCTGCTTTTGCTGTGTTTTGTTACCTTCTGGGAGGGCCTGGACCCAATCTACTTTATCCGCCTGCCTGCTTCATGTTTCTACTCACTTCTTCCGACCGGCGGGTACTCCGAATTTCACCATGAAGTAGGGGGGTCTGATTTGTTTTGGGGGGCCTGCTTGGAACTGTCTTGGCGGTCCCCGGGGGGCCTGAGCAACCTCTCTTAGCTGGTCTGCCGGGGGGGAGCCGAAAAGTTCTCCTCAGGAAGGGTTTTGACCCCCTCCCTTTTCCTTACCACGAGTCGGGGTAGGCCCTATCCCGTCGTTGCCCCCTATCGCTGCCCCTGAGCCTGTTCCCCCCTATCGTTGCCCCCGAGAGGAGGTAGCGCTGGAGGAGCCACATGGCGTAAACATCCACTTCCGGAGGTCCGCGCCGAGCTCTCGGATCGGCGCCGGGTCCCCTGCGCCGGGGGCGCCGCGGGGGGCTCCCGCGCCGATCCAAGAAATCTGCGCGGGCCTCGGGAGGTTTATGTTTGTGCCGTTTGCTGCTCCTCAGCTCCCTCCCATCGGGGGTGGACAGAGCCCCCGACAGTGACACGTCGATTAGTGAATGGTCCGTTTTCGGTTCTCGAGATGGCGCCGGGACCGTTATTTTCCAGGCTTGCGCCCGCCAGGTTTGGGCCTCAGGTCGTTTTCGCTAAACCACGTTTTACTAAAGGGGGGTCTGTCCATCCCCGATCCTACCAGGGGCAAGGACAGGGGGGGGGACAGGCTCAGGAGGGGACGCATCGACCCCCAATCGCGCATGGATCGCCGGTATGAGCCCGATAGCCCCAGCCGGCCCAGCGAACGATCTGTCGGCGATGTGTCGCCGATGCCTATCCCCCATATGGGGTGTTCTAACAAGGGCATTGTTTTTTAAGAGTAGAAGGGGTTGCCATCTCTTGCGCGGCGGAAGGCGGCGGAAGGTCGGCGGAAGTAAATCGAGGCCGCCTCCTTTGGCGGAAGCCGGCGGAAGCTCGGTGGAAAGCACCCGCAGAGATGAAAACGTTTTTGGGTTCAGGTGTTCCGAAATCCGCCATAGGCCCCCCCCCTGTGCCTATCTCCCCCTATAGGCCTGCCCCCCTGTGCCTATCCCGCCTCCTCCTAGCGTTGCCCCTCGAAGAGGTGGACGGCGCGGACGGGAGCCTGCGGGCTGCCCTCGAGGAGCCCCCCTGGCCCGGAAGGGTGGCTGCAGTGGAGGCCCATGCCAAGAGACACCTTACTTGTCTGAAGGGTGCTTCAATGGTTCCGCGATGGAGGCTCAGATGAAGAAACACAGGGTTTCCAGGGCACAGTGGGGGCCCATGCCAGGAAGCACCCTGCCTGCTTGCCTCCAGGGTGGCCCTAGGACTCGCTGGCTTCGATGGCTCTGCGATGGAGAGCGCGACGCTCCCACACCAGAAATCAGTGGACGTCCTGGGGCCTCAGGGTCGGGGAAGGTTTTTGTGTGCACGGGCCCCCGCTGCAAGAAGACCGCCAGCACGTCCTGTGCATTCCCGATGGGGCTCGCTGTCGGTGGCGCCGCGTGCGTCCGGAGAGGTGCGCGGCGCGGGCGGGGGGGGCCTTTCCGGGCTGCCGTCGAGGAGCCCCCCACCCCCCTGGAGGTGCGGCAGTCCCCAAACGTGGTGGTGACAACACCTGGCGGTGAGTCTCGGGCGATTTGGTGTCGCCACCCGGTTTGGGGACTCGTGCGGCTTTCCGAGGATGTCCCGGACGCTGGTGGGTCCAGGAGTCACAAAACCCGGTGGTGACCCCGTGTCCCCAAACCCAGCGGTGACCTTTGTGGGGATTCCAGGTCGCCACCTGGTATCTCACCACCCGGTTTGGGGGTTCCCAAGAGGTGCGGCAGCAGGTTCACGGGAGCCCCGCGTGTCCCCGCCGTTCCGTCCTCAGAGTGCACTCGGGTGCGCCAGCGTGTGGCAACCGATGCTCACAGGCCCCGTCTGGACTGGCACGGCAGACGTCGGCCACGCGGATCCCCGTGCTTGCACCAGGCGCATCCGCAGCCGCCGGCCACGTCAGGACGGGGCCTCCCGCAGTTCTGGGCACGAGCAAGCTCAGCCAGCGAATTCACGCCGAGGGTCGGCAAAGTCCTCGGCGAGTCTTTTTTTGATCCCGGGTCTGTGGGAAAAAGCACACACACACATTGTGGGACAAAAAGCACACACACACACACTGTGTGTGTGTGTTTCCACACACACACACGTGTGTGTGTGTGTGTGTGTGTGTGTGTGTGTGTGTGTGTGTGTGTGTGTGTGTGTGTGTGTGTGTGTGTGTGTGTGTGTGTGTGTGTGTGTGTGTGTGTGTGTGTGTGTGTGTGTGTGTGTGTGTGTGTGTGTGTGTGTGGTGTGTGTGTGTGTGTGTGTGTGTGTGTGTGTGTGTGTGTGTGTGTGTGTGTGTGTGTGTGTGTGTGTGTGTGTGTGTGTGTGTGTGTGTGTGTGTGTGTGTGTGTGTGTGTGTGTGTGTGTGTGTGTGTGTGTGTGTGTTTTGTGTGTTTTGTGTGTTTGTGTGTGCTGTTTTTTTCCCACGCAATGTGTGTTTTTCCCCACGTACTCTCATCGGGCGAGCAATCGGTGAGAGAGCGCCGACCGGGCGGCGGCGAGCGTCGACTTAGCGTCGACCCCCCCCCCGTATCTTTCGCGCCCCGCACTGGCAGCCCCGCCGAGCGCGGAGTGCGGCGCGAGCGGGGCGGGTTACGGGAAGGGTGGGCACGGAGGCCGCCAGCACGCAGGAGGGGAAAACACATACACAGACACAATTCATCGTCGAACCCCAGAAAAGCTGGGAAGGTATGGGAGGTGGGGGGGAAGACAAACATCCCCAGGAAAGGTGGGAAGGCATGGGGCGTGGGGGGGGAGACGCAAATCCAGAAACTATGGAGAACAGATGGGGCATCCTTTTAGTTTCGTGCATTTAGTTGTGTGTGTCCCTGGGCCCCTTCAGCGTTGTGCTCACTTTCAGCGGGACTCGCTGCCGGTGCCTCCGCGGGCACTGTCCGTCTGGGACAGCGGGCCGCCTGCCCAGCAGCGGCCGCTGTCGGGGCTGGACCATGATGGGCATGTCTTCGACGACCATAAGTTGGAGGGGGGAGGGAGGACGAGGACGAGGAGGAGGAGGAGGAGGACGAAGAGGACGGAGAGGAGGAGGAGAAGGAGGAGGAGCAGGAGGAGGAGGAGGAGGAGGAGGAGGAGGAGGACCCCCTCCCCCTCCAACTTATGGTGGTGGTGGAAAACAGGCCCATCACTTCTCTGGTTAGGCGTTTTTCAGCCACGCGCAGAGAGGGGTGGGGGGAGGGGGGACGGCTTCTTAGAAGCACCCCTGCTTCTTAGAAGGCGCGGGCCTTATCTAGAGGTGCAAGGCCGGCGCCTTCTGAAAAGCAACCTCCTTCTAAGAAGCCCTCCCCCCTCCCTCCACCCCCTTGTGCGCGCCGCCAAGTTTTGGTATAGGTCCTGAGAAGCTCTTGCAGGAAGATTTTGCCAGGCGTTTGGGCGCAATCCCGGGCCCGCCCGAGGCTCTCGCAGATCGATCTGGCCAGAAACATGCAGAGGAAGATGAGGTCTAGGGTTAGGTCGGGCATGTCCCCCGACAGGCGGATTTTGGACGAAAAAACATAGTCAAACAATCTTCCAAAAATATTCCGAAATAGTCAAACAATCGTTCCCTGACTATTTTTTGATTATTTTTGAATATTCCTCCTGCAGAGGGACACGCCCGACTTCAATTTAGGGCTCGGGTCGTGATTTCTTCGTGGTGCTGCAATTTGTTTACAGCGTCGGATTTCAGTGGATAGATTTGTTTTCAATCGCGGGGACATCCAGGCTGCCATCCATGAGTAGCAGCTCCGAGCGCACCAGTTCAGAGAGGGTAGTGGTACCCATGCCGCTGCCCCCCGAAACCTTGGAGTCGCCCTGTTTTCGCCCGGGCTCGGGACCCCGGGGCCCTCCTATAGGTCGACCAGGTCTCCGGCGAGCGCGCTGCGGTGCACGGTCTGGGCGTGGCGTAATGGGGGAGCGAGAAGTTCGAGGGGGGTGATGACTAGGGGGGGGTGGATATCATGGCGGGGGCCATGATATTTCCCCAGATTTTATAGCGTCTCTTCTTATTTCATTACGTCCCTGGCCCCCCCGCTGGGCCGCGCACATGCCGCCGGCCATGATTTGCACCCCCCCCTCTTGGACACCCCCCTCTTTACAGCTCCCGAGAAGTGCGGAGGTGAAGAAAGGTGCACCTCTTGTGCCCTGAAGGGGCCCGAAAAGGGGCACGAAAGGTGCATGTGACTTCGCCCCCCCCCGATTCATCGCCCCCCACGAAGCAACGCCCGAATGGTTGCTGTCCTCGGTCGGAGCGCACCCCGGGATGGGGTCTGGGGGGGGGCAGCTGCAGGTCGGCGACTACCATCGGCGCGGTTGCGCCCGGGTGCGGTTTGCGAGTTGCTTTGTGGCGGCCTTTCCGGGGCCTTTGTGAGAGACAAAGTCATGATTGTCGTCGTTTCGAGCGACACTGTCATCCTCGATGTGTGCTCCACCGAACTAGAAGGAGCAACAGTGTCATGTGATTCGGTCGCATTGAGTGAAAGTGTCATCCGTTTCCCGGGGGCGGGAGGGGCAGATATGACGGGAGGCAAACCGCACCCTTCGCAAATCGCACCCGTTGTAGTCGCCGAGCAGGGTCTTCCGTATGCCACTGTGCCCTCCCATGGCCGGGGACGGCGATCTGGAGGCGGCCTTCTGTGCACGCGCGGGCCCCGGGAGCTTCAGGCCCCCGTTTTCTGGGAGCCCCTGGGGCCATTCAGCGACGCCCCCTGCCCTGCCTCGTGTGAGAACCCAGGACCCCTCGAGTCATGAAAAAACACGACGGGAGATGTCTCTTCACTTTCGGCCTTTGGGGGCCCTCACCGGGCCTTGGGGCGGTAACGACAAGTATGCAGGATGAAAAACCTGGCTCTAGGGAACGGGTCAAGACTTCCGCGGGTTGACGTCATGAGAGAACATAACGCCGTACGTCTGCTGAGAATGCCGCCCCCCCGCCCTACTTTTTTGCGTCGGAGGGGCAAGAGGTCGTGATGCTGTGACATAACTTCCATGTCTTTGGGGTGATCCTGCTGTTCCGTGTGAATTCCAGTAGGGCCGCTAGATGATCTGGATCTCTTGCAATGCACGTTTAGCCAATCGCACCATGACGCAGTTCTCTAGGTCGCCCAGGAGGGTGCGAAGACAGTCTCCCTTCGCGCGTCGCTGTCTTTGCTGGTGGGCCATGGGGGCGACCAGGACCGCGCATCGTGGGGCGCGACATGCGAAGTGATGTAACCTGGATGTTTGTCCTGCTTCAGCACGCCCCTGAAAAACCACGTTGCGAAACAGTGGCAACGTCTCGAAAAATCACGACTCGAGCGCCATTGATAACAAAAAAAACAAAAACACGACTCGAGCGCCATTGACCCGACCTTTTTGCTGCACTCTTCGAGCCAGGCCGATCTGCGACGGCCTCGGGGCCCGGAGCCTGGGGAAAAGGCGCGGCGTGAACGAATTGCAGTGCCCGCTCTTCAGGGTCCGCCAGGAGTCGGGCACTGCGCAATGGGGAGCGATAAATGGCGATAAAGAGCGGGCGTGAAGACAGGTGCACCTCTCGTGTACCTCACAGGGGCCCCTACCAGGGCTCTCTTGGGGGGCGATAAATGGCGATAAATAGCGGGCGTGAAGACAGGTGCACCTCTCGTCTACCTCACAGGGGCCCCTGCCAGGGCCCTCTGGGGTGCAAAAGGGGGACACGACGAGTGGAACCTTCTTCGCCACCCCAATTTGCCGCCCCACATCTTCTCGGCACGTTCCGGCGGAGCAACTTCTGGAACGGCCTTCCAGCGGTCAGTGCAGGCAGGGAGGGATGCGAATGAGTGCTGCATCTGGTGTAGCATGAGTGGCGTCTCATCGAACAACACGCACCCATACCCATAGGGAGGACGGAGGGGCTGCTATGGATGCGTGTTGTCGGATGGGGGTCCCCGCTCGACCGGGAACTTCCCCGGGGTCCGACAACTCGCACCCTACCCATAGCCAGTCCTCTTCCTTTCGACCCTCCTATGGGTACACGTTGTTCATTTCTAATTCTTCGAAAGTTATTACCTAACAGCGAAGACTGATAGGTTTCTAGTAGGGTCAAAAGAGAGCATCATGACTCCTAAGGGGGGTCGGGGCGGGACCCGGGGCGGCTGCCGTCGAAGCCCAAATCGCTTAGGACATCCTCGCAAAATCGCTCTTGGCGCTGCTAGAACTCCATTCCCGGCGTACATTTTGGATGCCCGGAGCCAACTGTAGGCCACTTCGTGGTCTTCGAGTTCCCAGAACTCCATTCCCGGCGTACATTTTGGATGCCCGGAGCCAACTGTAGGCCACTTCGTGGTCTTCGAGTTCCCAGAACTCCATTCCCGGGCCACATTTTGGATGCCCGGAGCCAACTGTAGGCCACTTCGTGGTCTTCGAGTTTCCCAGAACTCCATTCCCGGGCCACATTTTGGATGCCCGGAGCCAACTGTAGGCCACTTCGTGGTCTTCGAGTTCCCAGAACTCCATTCCCGGGCCACATTTTGGATGTCCGGAGCCAACTGTAGGCCACTTCGAGTTGCTCCTGAGGCTGCAGGCTGGCTGCAGGCTGAGGCTGAGGCAGGCTGAGGCTGAGGCCGAGGCGGCAGACTGAGGCTGAGGCTGAAGCAGACTGAGGCTGAGGCTGAGGCAGGCTGAGGCTGAGGCTGCAGGCTGATGCTGAGGCAGGCTGAGGCTGAGGCTGAGGCTGATGCAGGCTGAGGCTGAGGCAGGCTGAGGCTGAGGCCGAGGCTGAGGCAGACTGAGGCTGAGGCTGAAGCAGGCTGAGGCTGAGGCTGAGGCAGGCTGAGGCTGAGGCTGAGGCAGGCTGGCTGAGGCAGGCTGAGGCTGAGGCTGAGGCTGAGGCTGAGGCTGAGGCTGAGGCTGAGGCTGAGGCTGAGGCTGAGGCTGAGGCTGAGGCTGAGGCTGAGGCTGAGGCTGAGGCTGAGGCTGAGGCTGAGGCTGAGGCTGAGGCTGCTGAGGCAGGCTGAGGCTGAGGCTGAGGCAGGCTGAGGCTGAGGCAGGCTGAGGCTGAGGCCGAAGCAGCTGAGGCTGAGGCTGAGGCTGGCTGAGGCAGGCTGAGGCTGAGGCTGAGGCAGGCTGATGCTGAGGCAGGCTGAGGCTGAGGCTGAGGCTGATGCAGGCTGAGGCTGAGGCAGGCTGAGGCCGAGGCTGAAGGCAGACTGAGGCTGAGGCTGAAGCAGGCTGAGGCTGAGGCTGAGGCAGGCTGAGGCTGAGGCTGAGGCAGGCTGATGCTGAGGCAGGCTGAGGCTGAGGCTGAGGCTGATGCAGGCTGAGGCTGAGGCAGGCTGAGGCTGAGGCCGAGGCTGAAGGCAGACTGAGGCTGAGGCCGAAGCAGGCTGAGGCTGAGGCTGAGGCTGAGGCTGAGGCTGAGGCAGGCTGAGGCTGAGGCTGAGGCTGATGCAGGCTGAGGCTGAGGCAGGCTGAGGCTGAGGCCGAGGCTGAAGGCAGACTGAGGCCGAGGCTGAAGCAGGCTGAGGCTGAGGCTGCAGGCTGAGGCTGAGGCTGAGGCTGAGGCTGAGGCTGAGGCTGAGGCAGGCGGATGCTGAGGCAGGCTGAGGCTGAGGCTGAGGGCAGGCTGAGGCTGAGGCTCGAGGCTGAAGGCAGACTGAGGCTGAGGCTGAAGCAGGCTGAGGCTGAGGCTGAGGCAGGCTGAGGCTGAGGCTGAGGCAGGCTGAGGCTGAGGCAGGCTGAGGCTGAGGCTGAGAGTGAGGCAGGCTCAGGCTGAGGCAGGCTGAGGCAGATGCCGAGGCTGCAGGCAGACTGAGGTTGAGGCTGAAGCAGGCTGAGGCTGAGGCTGAGGAGGCTGAGGCTGAGGCTGAGGCTGAGGCAGGCTGATGCTGAGGCAGGCTGAGGCTGAGGCTGAGGCTGATGCAGGCTGAGGCTGAGGCAGGCTGAGGCTGAGGCCGAGGCTGAAGGCAGACTGAGGCTGAGCTGAAGCAGGCTGAGGCTGAGGCTGAGGCAGGCTGAGGCTGAGGCAGGCTGAGGCTGAGGCTGAGGCAGGCTGGCTGAGGCAGGCTGAGGCTGATGCAGGCTGAGGCTGAGGCAGGCTGAGGCTGAGGCCGAGGCTGAAGGCAGACTGAGGCTGAGGCTGCAGGCTGAGGCTGAGGCTGAGGCAGGCTGAGGCTGAGGCAGGCTGAGGCTGAGGCTGAGGCAGGCTGAGGCTGAGGCTGTGACTGCGACTGCCGTTGCCACTGCGACTGTCATCGCGAATGCGACTACGACTGCGAGAACAGCATAATTCTACAACTGGATTATCATCTGAATCTTAAGGGGAATGCTTCCGGATATGCTCCTACACATCGCTGTTAGGTTGCTTTGCCGGGATGCATTGTTTTTTTCGGGGGTCACGCTCTTTCCATTTCTAACTGTTCTGTCCTGGGCCTCTTCCTGGCCACCAGGGGGCCAGGAACAGCCAGAAACGAGCACCATTAGAAACGAGCACGATCAGAAATATGAACGACGTGTATGGGTGTGAGTTGCTCGCTCGTCACTTCCCGCTCCTGAATCGCCGAGCGCGTTCCACCACTCGTCATGTGCCTACTCGCAAGCGTCCGAAATAGACAGGTCTTCCTCGATGTAGTATCTCTACATATATATATACGTATATATATATATATATATATATATATCTCTTAACCCCCCCCTGGAGGATCCAGGCAATCTGTGAGGAGTTGATTTGCGAGTCGTGGAACGCGCATGTCCACTGAAGCAGCGCCCCACGAGGAGTGGAGCGTGCCTGACTTCACCCTCAGGCTTAGCATGTGGACACCCTCAGGTTTAGTATGTGGAGACCTTTGGGGCCGCGGATGGAAGCAACAACAAAAAACACAAGGAGTGGAGCGACGACTCCGACGCGTCGCGGCCGCCCCGCCGCCTGATCCTCGTGCTGGGCGGCGGCGGCCTCGGCGGGCGTGCCGCCGCCGCGGCGCAGGCCGTGCGCGGGGCCCTGCACCGGGACGCGCCGGGCGTCGCCGACGCGCTGCTGAGGGAGGGGCTGCGGCAGTCGCCGCTGGCGATGCTGGAGGATTCCTGACCTGATGAGGGTTTTTGATGTCCATGGCTTGCCTCATCTGGTGAGGATGTCCTTATCTGAAGAGGATTCCTTATCTGATGAGGGTTTTTGATATCCATGGCCGATGCACTGTTGGATTTCAAAAGGCTTCCACTCTTGGGGGACCTCTCTAGGCCTCCTGGAGGGGGTCGGAGTGGACGGGGTCGGAGGATCGCGCCGCCTCGCCGATGCATCGCCGACGTGGCTTGGTGCGGAGCCCGGTTTTCTCCACGCCGACGTCGCCGATGCATCGCCGACGTCGCCGTGCATCGCCGATGCATCGCCGATGCATCGCCGAAGTATCGGCGACGCGGCGCGATCCCTCGACCCCATCTACTCCGACCCCAGCTAGGAGGCGTCTAATCTCAGAGGAGGAAGAGGTGCCCAAAGTACCGCTGCCCTTCGGCCGTTTTCCCCCTCTTGTTCGGCCTCCTGGGAGGACCTCGTCGCCTCCGCTGGCTCGATTTTCGCCTCGAAGTGCTGGTCAGAACGCACCCCGGGAGAGGCCCGGGGAGTAGCGGTATCGGTACCTGTTGGTTTCGCCAGGATCGGCGGCGAGCCCAGGTCGAGGCGATCGAGCGGGTACGGAAAGATTGGGCACAAGAAGACCGGCAGCTGGGGACGTTGGTTCTGAGCAGGCCTCGCTGTCGGCGTCGCCGCGGGCGGTGGCCATTTGAGGCAGAAGGCCGCCTGCCCAACAGCGGCCGCTGTTGGTTTGGACAGCAGTTGAGCGACGCCCCGAACAAAAAAACAGGGTCGTCTGCGCCGGCATTGGCGCGCAAGCTCGCTGCGTCAGGTCGCGCGTGAGCGCCCTCGTCTCCAATGTAGCGTGCCGCGCTTTCGGCCCGCGTAAGCTGCCGCGTAAGGTCGCTACGTCATCTCGCGTAAGACCCAGGTTTGATCGTCTCTCCCTTGTTGTTGGGCATGGTACCCATGTTTCCCGTATCCATTTCGGGCGTCCAAGCCAGCTGGGAAGCCAAGCCAGGGGGGGCGGGCCTTCTCCCCACAGACCCCCTCGAGCCTTAGAAAGATCACGACGGCAGGTTATTGTTTTATGATTCGGCCTCTGGGGGCCTCGCAAGGCCTCGGGACCTTCAACAAAACGACTCAGGATGGAAAGTGGTCTTGGGGAACGGGTCGAGATCTCTGTGGGGCGACGTTGTGAACAAGATCATGACGTCGGGAATCTGGGTCAGAAGGCTCGGAAGGCCTCCGGCCTTCTGGGCAGCCCTCTCTGAGCCCCCTTCCGAAGACGCCGGCAGCTTCTCAGCAGGCCGGAGGGCTTGTGAGAAGCCTCGCCGTTTCTTGAGAAGGCCTGCCCTCTCAGTGAGAGGTAATGGGCCTGTTTCCCACCACCACCACCATAAGTTGGAGGCGGGAAGGAGGACGAAGAGGAGGAGGAGGAGGAGGAGGAGGAGGAGGAGGAGGACCCCCTCCCCGTCGTCCAACTTGTGGTGGTGGTGGTGGTGGGGAGCAGGCCCCTCGAGAGGGCGGGCCTCCCCCGACGAGGAGCCGGTGGCGGGCCTGCGCCGGCGGCCCCGGGCGATCGCGCAACCGAGAGGGGCAGCCAGCGCTTCAGCGGGCCCCGGCGGCCTCGGCGTCGCAGTGCTTCGGGGGCCCCCAGACGGGGAGGAGGGGGAGGGGGAGGAGGAGGAGGAGGAGGAGGAGGAGGAGGAGGAGGAGGAGGAGGAGGAGGAGGAGGAGGAGGAGGAGGAGGAGGAGGAGGAGGAGGAGGACGAGGAGGACGAGGAGGGGGAGGAGGAGGAGGAGGAGGAGGAGGAGGAGGAGGAGGAGGAGAAGGAGGGGTGGTGACCACACCGCGTGGTGAGTCCTTGGGGATTCGGGGTCACCGCACGGTCTCGGGGATCGAGTCCCTCTCCGCGGACGTCTCGGGCGGCAGGGGCCTCCAGGGTCCCAGGACCGTGCGGCGACGGACCGTGCGGCGAGGTCTCTCGGGGTTCCGAGGTCACCGCCGTGCGCTTCTGCCTGGGGTTAGGTCGGGCCTGCCCAACTACAGGGGGAAAATGTCCAAATAGTAAAAAAAATAGGGGACGACTTGCAGGAGTTGCATTTTTATCATTGCGGCCGTTTTCGTTGGGTTTCGGGCCCCGGGGCCATCACAGACCGATCCGGCTCGAAAAATGGCGCAGAACGACGGGATCCGGGTTTCGCGATGCCGTTTCGTTCCCGCGTCATCGGACCTCAGAGGGGGTCCGCCAACCTCCTCAGGCTCAGTCTGCGAGCCGCGTGCACCCATGGGGCCGATGCCCCTTGCCCGCCCCCACCGCTGGCCCAGGTCCGGGAGCTGCTTCTCGTGGCCAGCCGGGCTCCGCGACAGGGCCCCGGCTGAGCTGGGTCGTCGTGCTGGCCCCGGCCTGTGCGCCCCCGAGCGGGTCGCCACGAAGGGCGAGGGGAGTCGGGCCCGGGGCCCCATGGGGCCTCCCGGCCAGGGATCGGCTGCCAATTAGCGGCTGCGCTCGCCGGGGGCGGGAAGCACGACCATGCAAGAGTGCGTTCGCAGCGGCCCCCGCGCAGCGTGCGGCGGACATCCTCCGGGGTAGTCTCGCCGCGAGCGTGAGGCGTTCAACCAAACAGGTTTCGGGCGAAGGCCCGCATTACGGTAGATTCTTGCGGCGTTGGCGCGCCGGCGACGCCAGCGAAGGCGTTCAAGGTTGGGTTGTGCGACGCGGAAGCACCGAGGGACACGGTGACGCCACTGGACCCGACGTAATCAACCTTGAACGATCGGGTCCGCGATCGATCCAAGGCTGAACGATCGACGCGGTGTCAAAAACTTTTGCGCGCGCCGACGCCGCACGAACCTATCGTACCCTGGTGCCCATGCGTGCGCCCCTGTGTACACTACACGGGAGTGGCCCCAGGCAGGAGCCACCTCATGGTGCGCGGCGTCCCGGGGTGTGGCGGTACCCAGGCGCGCCGGCCAGTGCCGGGGGCACGCCCCCGCGGGCAAGGTCACTCCGCCCAGGGCCACTCCTCGCGCGTAGCCATCGGTCGCTGAAGGTGGGTACTCCGAATCCCTTATTAATCGACCCCCCCAAAAAAACGGATCCCCCTCCAAATGCGACCTAATATTCCGGACCCCCCCCTTCGACGGGGCGCCTTGATAAACCGAACCCATAAGCTCCAATCCTAAGAAAGCGCCCTAATGAACCCGACCCCCCCAGTTGAAAAAAATGCGCCTTAAAAACCAGAACCTGGGGGACGATTAATAAGGAATTTGGAGTATGTGGGTCTCCTGGATTCCAGCTTCTCTTGGCGCATTCCCACGTCAATAATCGAGAGGTCTTCCTTCATTCTTCCTCCTTGGGGTGCGGGCGGGAATCGTACTTCATTCTTCTATGCCTTCCTGCTTCATGGAGTGGTTTCCTGACAGGCCCTATAGGGGGGCGACCTCTGGGCGTGGCACGCCTGAGCGCCGCCCTGTACTGGGTGACGATTGTGCGTGCCACCGCCCAGGGGTCGCCCCCGCACGTCCGAGTGGCTTCTCGGTGGCGGCGGTCTCCCCAAACATCCGCGGGTAGGATATTTTTCCATCTGCGGCCCCAGCGGTCACGACCACTTCCCTGGGGCGAGCCTCTCACCCTGGAGCCGTTTCTGATAGTTCTGGGACCCGATCACGGCCCCCAGGAGTCGAAGTCGAGGACGCAGCGCCCAGATGGAAGGAAACATCAGAGTGAGGGGGCCGGCCAGTCTTACACCATCCCTGGGTGCGTGGGCGGAGTGGGACCCCGTGGCCCGGATTCCGCTTGTTCGTTGCGTGCTGTTGTTGTTGTAGTTGTTGATCATGTTTTAGTTGGTGCTGTCGTGGTTGGTGTCGTTGTTGTTGTTGTTGTTGTTGTTGTTGTTGTTGTTGTTGTTGTTGTTGTTGTTGGCGTTGGTGATGGATGCTGATGGTGCCGTTATTGGTGTTGTCGTTGTTATTGCTGCTGCTGCTGTTGTTGTTGCTCCTGAATTCTCGTTTCTAAGTAATCATTGTTGTTGATCCCCCCTGCCCGGTGCCCGGTGACCAGTGTACTCTTCAACGAAAGTGCTTATCCCGGGTCTCGCACCCAGTTTTTTACAAGAAAAAGTGAGGTGCCACCAAACTGCGCCCTTGGCCCCCCGTCTACAACACCAACGGCTCCCGCCTCATACTTCCTCACAATGTATTCCCAAATCGCGCTCTCGCGCTGGACGTCCTAACAATTTCTACAGGAGTCGCGTTCTCGCGTGGGACTTCCTCGCTGCTTATTGAGGCGCCGCACACTCGACACTCAGGAATCACGCTCTCGCTTTAGCCTTTCTTGCGGTTTACTTGGGAATCGCGCTATTGCTCGAGACTTCCTTGCGATTCATGCAGGACGCACGCTTCAGCAACCCGCTTGCCCATTGTCCCTTTCTTCCATCCGTCCTCTTTTCCCCTGCCTTAGGGGCTGCACGAAATACACGTTGCAGATAAGAAAGATATACCCCTAAATAGGGGCACGACCGAAGACAAATATACATGTTGAGTCGCACGCGAGCAGATAAGAGTGAGCAGTCTTAAAATAGTTGTTTTCGTCGTCGTTGTTGCTGTTGTTGATGATGTTGGTGTGGATGTTGTTGTTGCTGCTGTTGTTGTCGTTGTTGTTGTGGTTGTTGTTGTTGCTGTTGTTGCTGCTGCGGTTAAAGTGTTTTTCCCGGGGCTCACACCCTTTCTTTACCAAAGACAGTACGGTGCCACCAAATTGCGCCCTTGGCCCCCCGTCTACAACAACAGCGACTCCCGCTTCATATTTCCTCACAATGTATTCCCAATTGCGTTCTGGCGCGGGTCGTCCTCACAATTGCTACAGGAATCGCGTTCTCGCGTGGGACTTCCTCGCAGTTTATTGAGGCGCCGCACACTCGACACTCAGGAATCACGCTCTCGCTTTAGCCTTTCTTGCGATTTACTTGGGAATCGAGCTATCGCTCGAGACTTCCTTGCAAGTCATGCAGGA